CACCTTCTGACTATTATTGCCGGAGATTCATTTTCGACCTAAACAAAAATTGTCTCCTTTATTCAGCTATCAAATTCTCTCAAATGTTGTGTTAAGCTTTTTTTTTCTTACTGCTAACAAAAGGGAGGCAGTTAATTATTTAAAATAAACCAAATTTAAGATACTTTAAAGAGAAGAATGGTTGGAGTGATCAATTAAAAAAAAATAATAATTTTAAAAAATAAATAAGTATATTTATTCGTTTAACCAGCCCTGACGAAGGCCTGAACTTAGGACCGAAACGTCGGCAAAAATAGAAATAAAACTACTTATTTATTTTTATAATTTTTTTTTTGACTGATCAGTCCAACCATTCTTTTCTTCAATTATTCTCTACAGTCAACCATCAATCCATAATTATAAAGGAACTTTAGAACAAAAAATTTTGAATAAAAAATAAAAAAGCCCTGTTAAGTGATATCAATGGGGATAAAACCTAAATGATATTAAAGACCATTTAATTATTCATTGATACACCGAGTTTAATAAAAATCCGAAGAGAGCCGTTTTTGAGAAAATTGTAAAAATGTGTTTCAGCGTTCATGTAAAGTGGCACTTCCGGTTAGCCGATTTTAAGGGAAATGTTGCTGTAATATTCCAGGTATATACCTAACTAGGTATTTACAGTTACGTACGACTTACGATGAGCTAGACTGTTAACTTACACAGACACACATATCATTTTGGTGACTGGGCTATTTGGACTCAGGTGACCTCAAAACATGAATTTCCGTTGAAAACTGCGATTCGAAAATTTACACGATTGCAATACTTTTCCTTTCTATATATTACATGTATAGATAAGTTCAAGTAAATATTTAATCAATAAAATTACATGTTGATATTAATTACATTGATTAACCACTAATGGATCCAGGATTTAATTTTGCGGGGAGGGGGGGGGGGGATTCAGCCTGAAAGCACCCTCCCCCACACGTAGATCCGCCTGTGGTTTAAACCAACGCCAACCAGGAGGGGCGCCGGCCGAACTTCAGGGGCGCTCGCCACTTGTTAGAAATTACAAAACGTCTTAAAACAATTAATTTTAGCCTATCGATGAAGCAACTGTATTAGAGAAATATTGAACGAAGTAAAATTAAAATATTACATAGTAAGAATATTACAGCTTAAGAAATAAATTAAATTATTTATAGGAGAGCAATGACGCCATTGCCCGGAAAGCCGAATGTCTAAGGCCGGCACTGGTTTAAACATTAAATAAATAAAAAAATTTGTTAAACTACAAAACACTTTAAATATCAAATCTATATAAATAAAATAAAGATTAAGATTTGCTTGACTTAAAACATAGGCTTTAAATGAAAACAAAATATTGAGGAGAACCAAAGCTATGAATTCTTGAGTAATTTGTCGAGAGATCTCGGTTGATGTTGATAATAAATGTTAATAATAAATTTATGTTTATAGGTTGAAGATCATCTATATAAATGAAATAAAGGTTTTGTCTGTACATGGAATAGAATCAATCCGTTTCATGATATCTTTCCGTTCCATACATTACAGACACCAAACCCACTTTTAAAAGATTTTTGTCTCGATGTCTGCATTGTCCAAAGCAATTTTGTCAGGGGTAAGCTCGGCAATGGCTAATGGTAGACTTTCGAAATTTTGACCTTATATTTAGGTTTTCTTGACTGAAAATATAGGCTTTAAATAAAAACAAAATATTGAGTAGAACCAAAGTTATGAATTTTTGAATAATTTGTCGAGAGATCTTGGTTAGGCAGTTACTTACTTCGCTTCCCATCCCAACCTACTCTACCGCGAGCGAAATTTAAAAGTTGTGCAACTCAAATGAAAAAAATTATCACAACTCAACGGGAAAATCCGGAATACCGACCTTCTGTAACACGTCGCATAAAACGAGTAAAACACTAATTTTTCAACTTTGTTCTTCCCGTTCAAGGTGTCATTCGATTCCACTTTCCGGGCCTAAAAAATGTTTTCGTATACATTTTGAGGATTAACCAAACGGATTAGCCGGTAATCAGGAAAAAAAAACTCCCAAACATTTCACCCCGTCCGCAACAATATTCAGATCAAGTTCTAATTTTACACGGACTTAGGTGACTCAATGTCTTATTTTGCCAAAACTCAGCAGAGTTTAAAAACAAGTAGAGAGACTACAACTCTGTTTGATTAATTAATCGACTCCACAATCTCCATGGTAAATTTTATTGGATCGGTGGTGGGCGGTTTAGTTGTGTGGTATCTATACAAATAGCCGAATAACAAAGTTTCTGTTACGACTATTGCGAAACCTTGACTTCCATAAGCCGCGCCATAAAAAAATTTCAAAACAACTTCCCGACCCAATTTTATGAAATTTTTTGGTTATGGGTGGATGGACTACTTTGTATTTTTTTTTTTATGTACAACAGTCCAAGGCGACTCAACGACGTATTTTTTTTTTCACGGAACGGCCATAGAGACCACGCGAATATCATGATATTTGGCTTCTTTCTTGTTTTTCCTTTCTTTCCACTTCTCTCTCATTATCTCCGAGTGCCGGCACTTTCTCTAATCCGTCCACGTGACTCCCTTTCTCGAACTTTTCTTCTTAGTAAGAACCGTGATCTCCTTTAGTCTCTTACCATACCCCTCTCTGTCCAGACAGTCCCGGTCTGTTATTCCAAGTCGTTCCGTTTCTTCCTTCATCTGCCTGATGTATCCTCCCAAGCTTTTGTATCTAAGGATTTTTTGGAATATTTCCTTGTTAAGTCTTTCTGGGGCCATTCTTACCATATGTCCGTGGAATTTCAGTCTCCTGATCCTAATTTCCGTTTCTAGATCTCTTTTGTCCTTGTATATTTCCTGATTGGATCTTAGCCTGTATCCATATTATTTTATTTTATAATTTATCATATATGACTAGGCCCCAATAGCAAACTAACTATGCGAGAAAATATCGAAAACAAATCATAACAAAAAAAGTCTTCTGCGGGACAGTAGGAGCTGGCGATAGCAGGAAAGAGGTCTTGGCGGAGCGGTTGCCTCTGTTTTCATTCATCATTCTCGTGCCTTCATTCTGTGTCGGACGACGCTGGCTCCAATCCGACCTGAGCGGGTCAAAATTTATTTCGTTGCGGAGCCACGGAATAATTTTGACCTTCCTACTCTGGTTAGAATAGATTTGGCGGTAATATCTCAAACCTCCGTATGCCTCAAATTGCAAATTTTTTATAGCAGCTATAAAAAAAAGTATCAGCTGGTAGATTTGAAAAATACATGAACTGTATGTTAAGATTAGTGTGGCGAGTGGGTCGAAGAGAGATACATGGTTGCTGCATCAAAATTATTAACTGGCTGGAAGGATGATTACCTGTAGTCAGACAACAATAAATGCCACAAATCCGCTTATCTGGTTTGCAAAAAAATGTTTTGATAGATCCCGTGGATTACGTCAAAAAAAAAACTGGTGTGCGCAACACACAACTTTCACTTACCGATCTACTTTGAATAGAAATTATTTTCTGGCAATGCTGGGCTATTATAAAATTTTTTGAAGTGCATTTTAAACGGAGCTAAAGCTTACAGATAACAAGTCATTAAGACCATTATAATTACAAAATGTCTATTTAATATATCGACGACAGGCAATAAAAATCTAGTCACTCCATCTGCTTTTATAAACCACACAACTTTCTTTGTTTTTATAAACCACAGAATGACTAACTCCAATTTCAACATTTTTGAGTGATGTCATTTTAGTGATATTTTTAGTTGAAAAAGTTATCTATGCAGACAATGAGTAAGTTGAAGTTGTGATTGCAGTGTTGAAATATAGAACTGAGAATAAAGGTATAAATTTAGGTGCTTATTTCTTATGAATATTTCTTAGGAAAGACTCTTTATTAAATATCTGTAGAAAAGAGGTTTTTTTAGTCTCAACAATTAAAAAAATATACTTTAAATTTATCCAAATTTTCGCCTCTTCAGAGAAAAAAACTAGAGACCATATCTTTCCTCCTAATTGTCCGATTTTAACGATTTTTTTTAGGAAATTCCATAAACATTAACAAAAAAACAGATACAATATCCCCAAAAACCGTATACTTTTTGAGTTATTCGGAATTTAATTTTAACATCCCTCGTAACTTTTTTCCAGCTTCTTTTCGTTGAAGTATGTTATATAGATAAATTTAAAGGGTATCGAGAAAATGACTTTAGCGAAGTTTCGTTGAAATCGGCATATTCGTTTAGGCGCTACAGTCTATAGCAACGCAGGTTTTTCTGCATTTTTATTTTTTTTTTTTCCTTTATTAACTTATCAAATTCTTTCAAAAGTTATATGTAGCATTTTTCCGTAACTCTGAATAATGCGAAATGATTAACTTTTTAAAATAAACCATATTCAAGGTACTTTAGAGGAAGGCATATATGAAAATTGGGCATTTAAGCCCTGTAAAGTGTCATCAACGGGGATAAGACCTAAACGATATTAACGATCACTTAATTATACAATGATACACCGAGTTTGATCAAAATCGTTAAGAGCCGTTTTTGAGAAAATTGTAAAAATGTGTTTCAGCGTTCATATAAAGTGGCACTTCCTTTTACGAAAAGACGATTTTAACGAAAAAGTTACTGTCACATCCGGCTCATATACAAACCTTAAATACTTAATATCAGTTTCGTACTACTTTTCGTTTATGACCTAGACTGTTAACACACACACAGAGACCATTTTGCGACACTTGGTTATTTGGGGACCTCAAAACATGTATTTCTGTTGAAAACTGAGATTCAAAAATTTTCACGATCGCAATACTTATTCTTACTATATATTACATATATACGTAAGTGAAAGTAAAAAAATGATTCGTTTCTTTTCGCCCAACGAACAGTTATTATGCATATGTTAAATATATGTTTCCAAAACTTTTTGAGATAGAAATATGCAATAAATTTTTTTTTTTTTTTTTTTTTAAAGCAGTTATAATAAACCCATATGTTGATGTGGTGTTAGCAATAATGGATATAAAACTAAAATTTAAACAATCACAATATATATTTAGGAGATTTCTTTAAAATTAATCTAAACACTAACACCATTTAATAATGGCACAAAAAAATAATGAAGACCCGCGTATGAGTCACGTAACTATTGAAGAGCCTAGGACAAGTAGAGGAAGAGGCAGTCGTAGAAGTGGTTCAATTGACGAAAGCCGCCAAACGAATACCGACTCCCGTTACAGTATGCTTCCAACAGTATTAATTAATCAATTATTTCATGCATCCTTTTAATAGTAAAATAATTCTTTTCACAGTTAAAAAAAGTACTGTCGAAAAAGATCATATCACTTTGCCAAGATTCTATAGATCATATTCATGCCAGGTACATACTAATAATATAATAGACTAATAGTATTACATGATTGGCAATCTAAACTCAGACGCGGTTCTGTTTTCTGGCGCCCTAGGCGAACAGAATTTGTGTCCTATAATCTTATAAATGTTGCTCCCTGCCCCTCTACTCCAACTCTAAACCACCTAAAGTCACTCCTACCATTGCCACCACTCCATCCTATTATTACTATTTGTTTAAGCGTTAAATAAAGTAAAATGCTTGATTAATGGTTGTTATGATTCGAAAATAAATTATTGACAATTAAGAAATGAAAATTAGATGCCTTACTAATTATAGTGCCTATCATTTTACAATTCCGCTTTATGATGAATTGCTTTTTTACACTCTAGTCCCCGTACATCTAAAGTTTTCCTGCAACCAGAGAAGTCACTTGAAGAGAGGTCCACTGTATATAAATTTTCCAAGCAAATGCCCATTTTTTATAAAATCTCAGTAAGTTAAAATTTGACCACTCCAATTAAAAAGGCAATTTATCAGTTATTCTGTTTTATTTTTTCATCATAGCTGTGTATTATCTGTTTCCTGATATTTTGTTCGCGCCTATAAGAAGGATTCTTCAGATGAACTGAGCCAGTTTCTTTTATCTTATACAGTATTTAGAAAGAATAAGGGTTAAGGAGCTGAAAGAAACTAGGTATTAGATCATCGTGACATTCTACAGATAAAAGTTAGTACAAAAAATTGACTAAAATCAGAAATCACAAAAATAAAAAATTAAGCTAATTTAAAATTTTTCAACTACCGAAAATCACTAAGAAATTTCTGAAGTGTAGAGACTTTAATCATCCACTTCCTACTGAAACTCAAATTTGGTTCGAATCTGGCTAAGAAAAATCCCAAATATTCGGTCAACACCTCTTCAAAATTTTTAATCTAATCCACTTCTCGAAATCTTTAATTCAACTCATCTTGAATATATTCAAGCAGAATTTGATATCACCCTCCAAATGACACTTCCATCTAAAGCATTTCATTCCTCAAAAATATTCAGCATCATTCACAGATTGACTTCCCGCAAAGCTTCTGGACAAGACCTAATGACATCACATATCGTAAAACATCATCCTCGAAAAGCTGTATTATTCCTTGCACATGTATACTACTGTACTCCGAAACACTTACTTTTCTGACCTTAGAATATATCCACTGTCAAAATGATACTTCAAACCCAAAAATCCATCATCTTACCGTACCATCTCTCTTTTGGCTATCATGGGCAAACTCAAAAACTAATTTTAAAACATCTGTACCCTATCCCGGAGTCTAACCACATAAATCCACTCCATCAATTTGGATTTCGCAGGTCCCATTCCAATATCCAGCAATGTCATCGTGTTGCATTGGAGCGCGATTTGTAATGCAATGCAGTATTTCTTGATGTTGAAAAGGCATTTGATCGATTCTGGCACCCGGAACTCCTGTACGAACTCCGTCAATTCTACTTCCCTACATACATTTTTTTTTTTGTACATCCGTTCCTTGCCTTTTAGGCTATACGTTAGTTTCCCCGAGCCTGGAGAGATTAATGTCATAGTTAAAAGCCCCTCTGGCACCGAGACGCGAACTTGTAATTATTTTAATTATTATTGTAATAATTATTAATTACTGTAATAATGGCTGCCGGACAACGGCGGTTCAGTTCATACGTGTTAGCCCGCTTGGCCATCCTACCCACACATACTTTTAACTTTCTATTCCTACCTTACTGGCGGATCTCAGTAAATCACAATAATGTTTGCTCATCCTTTGCTCGGTCTACAGGCGTTCCTCAGGGTAGCATCCTCGGCACAGTTTATACAGCTGACATCCCAACCCCACTGACACTATCATCACCACGTGGGCGGATAAGACATGTTTGCTATCTGTTAATAACGATCCCTTAATTGTATTTCAAACTCACATACAATCACATGTCACAAACCTTGAAGAATGGTGTCAAAACTGGAGAATAAAAATAATTTCAGTAAACCCTACGTCGTAAACCTATCACTTGTCAGGAATTGTTGAACAGGCCCTACAGTATCCTTCAATAACATTCCATTTGTTCCTGTTGTACAAATTCGCTACCTAGGATACCACTTGGACGAGCTTCTTACTTGGAATCTGCATACAAGACTGAAACAACAAGAAACTGCTCGATGTTTCTCCGGCTGCTCCAACACTTACTAGATAAGCGTGCTAAGCATTCGAATCATTACAAGAAGCTCATTTACTATAATAAGGCCTATAAGGACACACGGACTTGGACTTTGGGGCTCCATTAAACCATCAAATTTTTATTGAATCCAATCTTTACAACCCAAAATCCTTAATACACCAGATTTTGTCACAAATAAAATCTTTAATGAAGACCTCAATATTCCATATGGCGCTGATTTGGGCTGATCCAGATAACTATTGTTTCATGATAAACCCTATACCCATCCTAGCCCAATTATTCTTAGCCTTGCTTCCTCCTCAATTCCTGATAATTTTCTTAGCCTACTGAAAATAAAATGGCTACGAAATCTTCTTACTTAGTACAATTTAGGAAATGCTACCATCGGATAGTATCCCGACAGGTTCATACCATCACTCTTGATTTGTGCATATTTATCGGATATATTTATTTAATACAGTTGTAAATTCCAATAAACAAAAAAAAAAAAAAAAACATCGCAAAGAAAGAGTTCTCTCAACTAATTACTAAAAACAATTGCGGGGTGCCTAGCCTACTAAAACCTAGTGATAGAAGCCAAGAAGCAAAACAGAGAAGACGCAAATCCATTAGGTAACCAGTCTGTATATCAGCAATCAAGGACGGAACCAAGAAAAGCAAAGGGACATTTGTCCCGAGCGGCAGAATACCTATTTGGTTTTTTTTTTTTTCTTTTTATGTTCTTCCCTTCCTCGCCTTTAAGGCTATACGGGATTTTCCCGGGCCGGAGGTTGAGGGTGGGGAATTTAAAATCCCCTCCGGCACCGGGACGTGAACTCGTACTTTTTAAATCTTCTCAAATCTGTAATCTTGTTGCCAGGCAACTCGCGGTGCTGTGCACACGCTTTAGCCCATTTGGCCACCCAGCATACATATATCATACATTTTATCTGAGCGAAAAGAATAAAAGTCGGTAAGTAAGTAGACGAATGGAATAGCATAAGTTTCTAAATGAGGTATTCAACTCCAGTTCAAAGTCAAGAAAGAATTGTAGTACTCCGATAAAGATAAGATAACATTCAACACTCAATGGCATAACTGCGCTGAGGAATGAGAAAAGACAGGATTCGACACGGCGACCAGAATTCATATGAAACAGGTTTTTTAAAACACCTTTTTCAAAGATTTTGATTAAGAGAGGCAAAATAATATAGGACAATATTGCTGTGAGGACTTCTTGAAAGAACAATGAGATGAAAATAAACTAATAATATATATAAATATTTACAGAAGTTTCTATTTACAATTTTAGAGGGACTGGATGAAAAGAAAGTGATTGAATAGGCGGGATTTAAAATTAGGAAGAGTATTGGAGCGATGAATGTCAGGGGGGGGGGAGATGGAGTTCCATAGATATGAGGATCGAATAATAAAAAATTTATCGATAGCAGCGGTTCGGTGGGCCATTATATATAAATCTGAAGACCGGGAACGGGTATTGCGTTAGTGGACAGAGGATTTAAATTGAAGGAGCTCGGAGATGTATGAAGGACGGCGGGTGTGGATGACTTGGAAGAGGAAGGATGCCAGGAAATACTTACGGCTCTAGGAAGGATAAAGCCATTTCAACTCTTCATAGAAACAGGAAACTGGGGGGCGTCTCTTGGGATCCCGAAGATGAATCATATAGTGGAAGCGGGTAAATAGTAAGGAGGTAACCAGGAGTCTAGTTTTCGTTCAGCTAAATGATCTAACTTCACTCTCAGCAGATTTGGTATGAAATAGATTCTTATAATATAACAATCAACTCCACTCTTAACTGGCCTGCCCACAATCTTGTTTTCTAATAATCCTAGATTCCCATGAATGTAGGCACTCAACACACTACTGCATAGTCCTTCACTAGCTCATTTAAAAACAATACAGCCCTCCCACTACATGGGAGCTATTAAAGAACTTTTGCCAGCTATGAATGTCTATGGAGACCATATTTAAGTTCTTTCTTGGTTAAAAAAACTTGTTGCACGTATATATCAAGTAATGCATAATGTATTACTACTTCAGATGAAAAAAGTTAGGTAAATCAAATTTTAGTAACTAAAATTTTTTATCCATGCCAAAATTTACTCATGATTTTCTTTTATTTTTTACTTCCATCAAAAATTATATTATCATAGATCTGATGGTGTTCTTTACAAATTTGTATTATGGTGTATTAATGAATTTAGACTAAAACCTGTTGATTTAGTCAGAAAATATAACCAATATTTTTACAATTGTTACTAATCTTAAATCCACAACTGAGTAAAATAATAATAATAATAGGTGTTGAAACTTTTTTAGAAACACACAACTTCAATCACATGTCCGAAAACACATCTTATCCCAAATGATTCACTGAACACAGAATTTATCTTTTACATGGGAGCTATTAAAGAACTTCTGCCAGCTATGAGTGTCTATGGAGACCGGATTAAAGTTCTTCCTTGGATAAAAAAACTTGCTGCACCTGAATACCAAACAAGTCGACTAAGAACAAAGAGAAATAAGTATGGTTTATTTTCAAAATAGAAGGAAACTAAACTATTTTGGTATTTGACTTCTGAAATTAATATTGCTATGTAGGTATTTACTTCACCTTACTCTGATTATGATGACTGATACTTTGTTTGGAATATTTCAAGAGCCTCCCTCTTATGGAAAACTACAAGACATTGGGTCATTGAAAACTAATGAAAATTTGCCTTTGGCAAGGTGGGAGAGGGATATGTACTGGGATGAACTTCTTAGAGGTAAGGAAATGGTAGCTTAAAACCATAGTATATAGTTTCCTCCCCCTTCTTCAGTTACTATACTTATCATCAAATTATCATAACTTTTATCAAAAATCTTATAAACTGAGCCATTATAAAAATCTTCATAACTCCATTACAATAATGGTATTATTACTATTATTGTATTGTACCATATTATGGTATTATTACGATAATGATATGAAAAAAAAATAAAGGAACAGTATAGATAATGGTTGGAATTTATCAACCTGCAACAAAAAATGTGTAGATACAAACGAATCATATTTGGATTAATTAACCAGCTAAAATAAAATATAATTTAAAACAATACCTCAGTAAAGTTCAATATGAGTAATTTTATATGTTATTCAAAAAGTGCAAGTGTAGGTATAGAATTACAAAAAAGAATATATCACCTGAAGCATTTCTATTTTTAAAAAATGCTCAGATAAAACAAGCACAGTAAATAATTTTTTTTGTTATGATTATAGTGTTCATACCCTTATAAACTAAACAATAATATTTTTTTAAATAAATTAATAAACAGGCAGAAAAGGTTTAAACAAAAATAATCTATTCAAAAATTTATATTTTGAAATAGCACAAGATTTGATGCAAATACCTACAAAAAGTTTTATAAAACAAAAGAAATTCTTGGAAGCAGACAATATTAAATTTCTAAACATGTTTTCAAACAAAAAAGAAAGACTAAAAAAAAATTCAAAAGTAAAAAAGTAAACTACGTACAATATTCTTTACATCTTAAGCACTAGTATCACACACTAATAAAGCAATAATGGGCCCAGCCAATTTAACCATATACAATGATAGAACATAATATTGATTCTAATACTAGAATATGCATTTTCAAAACAACAATGTGAAAATTTTTTATTAAAGCTATATTTACTTTTATAACTATATTTTGATTTAATATAGTTCGTCTTTTTTTTTCTAACATATATATTTTAATATGCAACTTTACATTTTTCAATGAACAATTCAAAACAAAAAAAAATAATAATATTTAATACCCAACATAATTTTAATGTTATCACTAAGATACCAAAACTAGTGTTTAGGCAACATATTGTAAAAACTGCGAAAAATTAAATAATTTGTTTTAATACAAAGAAAAAGCCTAGAATATATAACTATATTTGAATCATTGAACTTTCCTCACCATAAATCGTATGCTAACCATTTATAGGAAAACTATTAACTTTGTACTTTTAATAAAAAAAAAAAATATCATTAAATAAGAAAATGATAATTTTGAAGTCATTTAATTGCTCTTAGCGAGCTTAATCTTAATAAGTTGAAAAAGTTAACCAAAAATTAATTATGGGCTATTAGGTAACATTAAGCACCATAAAATAGTTTTATTTCAAAAACAAGCATATCTTAAATATGACTACCAACACGTGTTATCCAGTTCATGATGCTTTTGGATGAAGGGAATTCAACAAAGGTAAAATTTATAGACCACAATATGTTTTTAAAAATCACTACACAAAATAATTTGATTAGAATCTTCTATTATGTATTCTTATTTAAAACTTGGTAATGTAAAGTCTTTACAATTAAAATTATAATCAGATTAAGGATAATCACATAAAACACAATTTTTTTTTTGTTATTTAAAGACAAAATATACATTAAAACAAAAATATTCAGTCTTAAATTCATTGTTACAAATGAATAATAATAAGTTTAACTTTAGGAATATATTGTAAGACATATCCTATTCCCAGCAAATTAAATTACTACTGCATAAATTATTAAAATAAATATAAATTTTAAAGTTATATTTTGTTATTTAGCCAGCTATTTTAAAATGAAAATACATTATAATTACAAAACTCAAAAAATTACTGGTAAATAAAACCTAAATGAAAAGTGCAATAAAGGGAGGGATAGTAATTTATTCATGCTTCTTTGAAGCAAGCTGAAAAAAAAAAAAAAGGTTTTTGCAGAAATGAGCGGCAATGATTTGTGTACAATCATTTTGCATGTTCCTAAGTAAATACATTTAAAAGTTTCAAAACTTCAATAAATGACAACTTAAAGTTAGAGGTATATAAAATTATAAGGTAAATACAAAAATAACATAACAATAGATAAGAATACTAAATAAAAATTAAACATTTCTTTTCCCTAAATTAGCAATGTATTATAAATAAAACACTTCAAGAATACCAGTGAAAGTAGCATGATTTCAGACTAGTACATGTATATAAAAATTGTTAAGACTCCCTTATTTTAGTATTTTTTGGTGTTCATATTGACGAAGTACAGTACACATATGTGAATTTTTACCATGTAAATTATGATATGTATTTATCAAAGATATAGTTTATTTTGAAAATGATTTTTTAAAGGAAATTATGGTTATCAATAAGTCTTAACCAATATAAATGCCTACGACAGTTAAGATTTGATGGAATAAGTTTTTTAATATTCAATCAGTTAGTTGATTACCTTAATCTACACATTATTTACTACCTATATACTGAAATATACAAACCTATGTAGATAGACTTCACACCAGAAAATATGCATTTCTACATACATATTACTTCCTTTTTTAAACCTAATTGAATTAATTTTTGAACAAATATTATTTCCAACAGAGAAAGAATATAAGTATTAGTTTCACACTTCAATTTACTGATGGTTGCTCTAAATCTATATTTCTTTTCAAAAGTTCGTCAATCAAAAAATCTTCTAAACATCCATAAGCAGCAGCTAAGTTTTCATTAACAATGACTATATCAAAATTTCCATCTTCTCCATATTTGATTTCCTCCTTGCAAACACTTAATCTTCTCTTGAGACTCTCTTCAGTTTCAGTACCTCTGGATCTCAATCTAGATTCTAGTGTTTGTATCGAAGGAGGTTTTATGAATACCAAAATCAAATCGAGTCCCGGTTTCTGTTTAACTTGTTTCACACCTTCCATTTCTATGTCCAGCACACAAACCTTTCCAGCATTGCTAACAGTTTCAACAGCTTTAATGCTAGTACCATAAATATTACCAGAGTATGTAGCTGTTTCTAAAAACTCGCCATTAGCAATTGCTTCATTAATGGATTCTGGTGTTGTAAAGTGATAATGATGGCCAGATTTCTCACCTTCTCTTGGCTTTCTTGTAGTATGTGAAACAGAGAATCCAAATTTATCTGGATACCGCTTAAAAAGCATATCAAGAAGAGTAGATTTCCCACATCCAGATGGACCACAAATTACAAGTAATGGAAGCTTAGGTAACCCGATATTCGTAGAAACCATTTTCCCTAAAGATTTTCCTAAAAATATCCGCGTAGAAAGTGAATATACTTTAAAAATGAACGCCAGTTCGAATTACTACTCACTTAATGGAGATTGTTTATTCCAACAGAATTGGACGTGTAGAAACAGTTACTGTAACCTCAAGTAACGATTGGATAAAATGAAAACATGATAACAGAATATACAGGAAAAATATATAAAAAAATAGAAACAATAATAATACAGTCCATAGTTTTTAACATAAATATTAAATTAGTTAATGAATTAATATTAAATTAATGAAAACAAGAAAGTATAAACCGAATAGAGAAAAATCACACGGTAATAGATCACAGTGTTTTTCTACTTACACCTATGTACATGATTCAATAGTAATTTTTTAAATGTGTAATTTATTATAGATATATATTTTGAAGAAATGTACAATCCAAAAATAGCAGATTATATCAACCACTGTTACCACAATACTGCTTCACTTTTTAATCGTTAATCTATTCTTTATTTTTTAACAGATCTCAATGATGATGACAGCGTAATGAGATGCTGTTGTCACTCAAACTGCCGAGCGGTAAGGAATAAAATAAAAATTACATTATGTGATTATAATACATAAGTATATGTATTCATGTTTATGTATGCATACCAGTTCATCATCAGGTTTAAAGAAACAAACCCGACATTTTCCGACAGCGCCAGTTTTTGAGGTGCGAAAAAAAGTTGAGTAATAATAAATTTTTTTTTATCGAACCTCATAGATTTGAATAAAATAAAAAAAAAACAGGTTTTATTCTACGAATTAAAACAAAATAAAAATGCATATTCACATACCTATATGTATATATTGAAGGAAGTTAGTCGACTGTTCTACATATCATGGGTGATAAATATTCAGGACTGTCTTTTAAAAAAAAAAATTAATTTTTTATTTATGGCAACGTTTCAACCCAAACATGTGGGTCATCTTCAGGGCGTAGTTTGAGCACTGAGGGTTCCAGTACTTGAACACCGTCAGTGCTCAAAGCACGCCCTGAAGATGACCCACATGTTTGGGTTGAAACGTTGGCATAAATAAAAAATTAATTTAAAAAAGAAAAAGACTATGTCCTGAATATTTATCACCCATTATATGCATAAACGCATATTCCCGCACCCAGATCCGCCAGTGTTTTTAAAAAGCATAGTATTTTATTAAGTTGCTTTTGTTGTTTTAGAACTGATATATGTATAAGCTTGGGTTAGTAAAATTTTACTAATTACTAAAATTACTAATACTCTCTATAAATACATCCGAATATGTACACCCTCTCCTCCAAAGATTTATTTGTATTGCTCCCCTCTTTTTAAAAACAGTACCAGTGAAAATAGAATCAGAAAAGTCGTAAATCATATTACACTTAAACAACAGTTACACTTGCAGTGGTCTGTAGAAAAACACACACACACACACACACACACACACACACATACTATGTTTACTCTTGTCCCTCGGTTTCAAACTTTTAATTTCGATAATTCAAAGCCCCGTCAAAATGTCCTCCAATTCAAAACAATGTTAAAATATGTCCGCTAAAATATTTTGATGGCCCAACTAACGCCACGAAAATCTCTTCAGGGCACTCTTGTGCCCCGTGTCTATATATTAACTTATACGGTGTAGGAGAAATGTACTTAATGTATTAATTCCGGTAATTAAAAAATAACTTATTTCATTTTAATTTGAAAAAAATGTTTTCTTTTAGACATTTAGGGAGCAGGAGGGAGTTAAGCCCCAATGACCCTACTTGACAATACTAACAGATCCAGGATTTAATTTACTTCGGAAGAAATAAAGAAACTAAGTACATATATGAAATGGTGTTCAAGTGATTCTTTAAGTACAATTAAATGTAATAAGAGGAACAATAATACTTTTAGAGATAACTTTTTTTCATAAAACATGGTTATATTTTATCATTTTAATAAACGTGGTTATATTTTATCTGACTGTGCTTGACAGCACTTGTGAACCTATATATACTATTCTAAATAACAATCCAATTAAAGTCAACACATTTCAATGTCACGGTTTATTTAAGAAATTTTTAATAAAAAAGAAGTTTAGAAACCTATTGAATTATTGTTATGCATAAAAAACAGGTCAATTGTTCATTGATTCATTTTTCAAAGTCTAATAAATAATATATTACTTAGTATATAAATGTTTATAATTTATAAATATAGTATAAATAAATAAATAATAAACAGATACACATATAACGTATGTACAATATAATATTTACTGAATATCTATACACATAGTAAGGATATGTTCATAATAGAAACTTACGCAGCTAATGGCAAGAGGATGGGCTAATAGGAGTCGACTGGAACTGTCTTATCCAGCAGTTCCCGCCATAAGAAATTTATGCGGCAGTTTAGTCCGCTTTTGACCGGCTAACACAGGTAGCGCTAGGGATTCGGGATATAATTTTGGGGGCTTTGTTATTTTATTACTTTTTCTGTAACTTTATTACTCTGGAAGAAAAAAAAAAAAGAAACTATACAACAGTGATGTTTAAGCAGTCCTTGTAGGCCTATTAAAAAAAAAGAAAGATTATTTGGACGATAACTCTACGGACGAGAACTAGTGGTATTTACTCTTTCTGGATTTATTTAATTAATTTTATAAATACATGTTGAAGAAAGAATAGAAATTTATTAACGAGCCAAAGGATAGAACATCGAAGAAAATACATTTTCTATTTACTTGATTTGTTTTCGGGAATGCCTTATATTTAATTTATATTCATTGACTGATTAATCAACTGAACATTAGAAGCAATGTACATGGTTATAGAATTGGAAAAACATGACGAAACATAACGTTTTTGAATTTTAAGTAATGTTGTTTTCAATAAAAATATCTGCTCTCAAGCACTGGCGGATCCAGGAATTTTCTCAGGGGGGCGCACCTCTATACCAGGTGATTCCCCCACCTCTACCCGTTCCGCCACAGCTACCCATCTCCTCCCACTCCTTAGCTGTGTTAAGCCGCTCAAAAGTACTCTTTAAATGATTTTAACAAAAGCATACTCTATTTTTATTTATAGTAAATCTTTTCTAGTTTGAAGTGAAGCAATCGTCAATTAGTTAAATTTCTTTTTGTTACCAGTTCCTATTCAACAAAACAAATGACATACACAAAAAATCACAAAACTTTAGTTCCCTATCTTCCTGCTGAAAATCGAACCATTGTTTATATAAACTTTTTTGTATTTATTGAGTTCTGCTATCTCTCCTATAAAAATATTTCCCTTTACTTACGAGACATCCTGTATATGGGTTTAGACATTTAAAAAACTGAATTACTAACATGGCATGGGTCACCAAGAGAAAACTTTTTACAGCCAAAAAAATCCAGATTTATCTGTTTTTATCTTCTTTATGTATTAGTACTAAACAGTGCATCGAAGCCAAAACGTATTCTTTAAGAAATTAAAAAGGTCAAATTGTGCGATAAACGAGTACCTAAACTTAATAATTTGATTAATTTATATGGTCGATAACCACGGTCAATGAAAGCTAAATTTTACCGGCATTGTCAAAATCTGAGCCAGATTATTATAAATGGCCGTGCAACTTGGAAATGAGTTCTCTAAGAAAAAAAACTCAGAATAATTTTCGATTCTGATCATAATCAGATTCCGATCAAATCGGAGACCAAATAATTAGTACCTTCCTTCATGAAAACGTTTCCAAGAACAGCTATTTTATGAGAAGAACGACACTTTCTAATGAGAAATATACAAATTATTATCGTGACCAGTTTTACGGTTTGCGTTAAATATATCGTATAGGACTCTCGGACCATCTCCAATGGCTAAAGGTACTATTTCGCTGGCGCGGTCCACGACCGCGACTGCTCGCGGTTGACCACTGCTTTAGTGGAATAGAAAGGAACCTATTTCGCTGGCGCTGCTCGGCAGTCTAGGTATGACGTCATATCTAAGCTGCTCGTACTGACTCCTCTTGAAGCAGTGGAGCTGTTGGCGGTTCGGCGGTTGTAGGTTATGTTATCATATCAGAGCATTGTTTTGATGATAACAGTCACGTCGATACACTTTATTTCCTATGTTTCTTTCAAGTCTGGCAAAATTATAAAAAATATCGTTTAAAACTGAAACAATGCAATAGTAAATTATTTTTTTATGGTTGAAGTAACAAGATTATTTATTTATTTATTCCACCAGCAATGTTTTACAACGAAATACAAATATACCTAAATCCAAACGATATTAAATGAAATAAAGAATCCAACAAATTTTATTGTCAGATAAATACTAAAATCCACATATTGAAAAATCGATTTGTATTTTTTAATTAAAGTGGTGATTTACTGATTACTATTGATAAAACTATAAAACATCGCCTGCTGGGATTTAATTACAAATATATGATATTTATTACTAATCAATTATGTATTAATTACTATTACTTTTCAAACTAATAATATCTAATATCAGAGGGACTTTGATGATGAGCATCACATCGAAATACTGATATTCCTTCTCTTTATGAACAACATTTTCTCTTCTTTTTCCTCCTCAAATAAAAAAGCGGTAGTCAGAGATGTTAATTATTATAGGGATGTTCATTTTTATTATTATATTATGTCTATCTTTTTATCTTTGAAGATACAGCGAAATGTTTGAAGGTTATAGGCAGGTTATAACAACCGCAGTGAGCAGTTTCAGCAAAATAGCTACGCCAACAGCGGTTGGCAGCGTGGAATAGCGGTCGCTGTCGTGGACCGCGCCAGCAAAATAGTACCTTAAGATATTCTTTCTGGATCTTTTCATAATAACAAATATGTTTTACAGGATGAACAAGATGGAAATACACATCCAATAGCTGGTGCGCTACTGGATCAAGAATTCAATTTTTTTCTTTACTTGTCAAAGCCTCTGGTTTCACTCATCCCTTGTTTAAGAGACAAAGCTATTTGCGCCGTTTGGATTCTAACCCTAGCCAAAGTCAGGACATGTTCTTGTCTAACAATGAAAGCTATCAGGAACGATTATATGCAGGCATTGTTGGGGTAATTGTTTAAGAAAAGGTTTACTTTTAATTTAATGGATCACCACCGTCCTTCCATTCAATCTGTTACAGATATATTCAGGATCTTCAAGTGGTTGGGCCGTTCAACAAAATACCACCAGAAAATGGAGAAACCCTGAGGCCACTTGCAGAGATTGCTGAAAATAAAACTGGATTGGGGTTTTTGACTCAGGTAAAAATTCAGAACTCAATTGCATTGTGTTTATTAACCGAGGAAATGACTGGAGTTCCGTAAAGGTGTATGGAATATAAATTTCATTTTTAAATGCATATTTGTTATGTAGCCAACGATTGCCGGCCTTAGACATTCGATGCCCCCAAGCAATGACATCATCTTATCCCTCCTAAAGAAATTAAATTTATTTCTTAAGCTGTTTTATACTAAGTAATATTTGTATGTTATTTCATTCAATATTTCTCTAATACAGTTGCTTTATTGATAGGCTAAAATAATTACTTTTAAGACGTTTTTCTTTTCTTTCTTTTTTCTTACAAATGGTGAACGATAATGAATATCGGCCGGCGCCCCCAAAGCTCTCCCTCCCTCCTCCTGGGGCGTTTGTCCAGCACTGTAGCCAAGATTCCAACACATATTGTTATGACTCAGTAGAGTTACAAAGCAGAGACATGAATGAGTTTTAAAGATGCTGATAGTTGCAATATAATTAATTATTAACTGATTATTTAATTAAACTATATGGATGATAGAAAAAGAAAGAAAGAAAGATAAGGATCTTAACGATTAAACTGAAATATCCTATTTAATAAATCAAAAATTGATTCTTGGACAAAATAACAGCATGACTTTATCCATGCGAAAATTACTTTACGTAAATCATTTTTAAAAGTGTATTGAATGGTTTTAACAATCTGAGTGTAAGCATAGTTCAAACGGAATATGAATAATATCTGGTTTATTTCTGTTTAATCCTTTTATTCGCAGCACTAGTGGATCCAGGATTTAATTTTGGGGACGCTTCAGCCCGAAAGTTTTTTTTTCATAAATTAACTATAATTACTTTGGAAAAAAAAAAAGAAACTAACTACCTATATGAAATGGTGTTTAAGTGATTCCTAAAGTCCTTTTAAATGTAATTACATGAACAATAATACTTTAATAGATCATTTTTTTCCATAAAACATGGTTATATTTTGCCATTTTGGGGGGGAAGCTTAAGCCCCAAAGCCTCCCCCCGTAGATACGTCTATGATTTGCAGTAATGCCAAAATTAGTGTCGTTAGATTTCTTGACTGCTAGTCCTAATTAGATGTTTTACTCTATCATAGGGGATATTTTCTCTCATTGATATGAGATAACCCTTTGGTGTGTTGTTTAAAAACATCTCAAAGGCTTTGAACAAAAATTAAAGTCTTTACGATTATGTAAGAGCCAATGTGAGGATACTTGGAGACTCACATTTTAGGTTAGGTAAAAAGCGACCAAGGTCCCCACTAGCTATATGGATGACAAGCAGGGGTGCTCATTTCTCCTAAGGTCGATGGCGCATGAACCTCTTCCTCTTTCCAAGATATTTTATTGCTCTTTTATTCTTAAAAAACACAACGAGTGAAGAGAAAAGGGAGCAAGGGTTTAATTTCAGAGTTAAAAATCAGCCGGCACCGGGGTTCGAACTAGCAATCTTCAGTTTATCAGGTTGCTCGGCAACGCGTATTTTATACATCGTATTTTTACAAATTGTAGAATTTTTACATTCATATACAATTATACTATCTGCGCTCTGTTCCATGTTGATGCCCATATTGTGTCCCCCTTCAAACAATTTGTTGTCATAATTTACGCGATGAAATCCCTTCTGGACATCTCCGATGACAGGTTTCTCAGAGTAAGTACAATTTCCCAGGTATTGATTTTCAATATGAAAGCAAGGAGAAGATTTATAGAAGCTAATCTGCCAGAAATCCTGCATGTAGTCCTATTTTTACCAAAGCTTCTAAATAAAATCAACTTAAATGTACCCGTAATTCATCCATTAGATTATGGAGGCCTAGAAGCGACTTCTTTCTACTGATGATGTGAAATGGGATCCAAGTCACGATCGTATTTTCATTTTAAGACTCCCATGTGAACGATATGCCAAATGACAAATGCTGTATGACACCACATATTTTATTCCAATGAGACTCAAGCATGTCCTGTGGTATTATTTCTTCTGATGCCAGTACGGAATTAGTGGTAGTGCAGTGCAAATAAAACAGTAGGTCATTAACAGGCCCTTTAATTATTTCTTAAAGAAATTAAAATGAAATTTAGGTTTAACCATTTACTGGCCAATAGAGATTAATAATTTCCTTGATTTTTAATACAAGTTCAACCATCATGTGCACAACTGTTTTCTTATATCTATTTGGTGAAACGAATCGCTCAATAGATTTTTTTTTTTTTTAGAGTATAACGAACCCTAGCTCAGATGAGGCTCAGGATTTTATGCAGCAACAGCCCGTTCCACAAACAGGTGCATTTTGTTACATTGCTATCACTGGTAATGCATCCCTGCCGAAGAACATAGATCAATTTTAAACCGACCGAGAACCAATCATAAACCATATGTTAAACGTTAAAAGTTTTTATTTTTTTAAATACAAAAGATTGTTACATCGATTATTTGTTTTGTTTCGATTACATAAAACTTACACTCATTTATGAAATACAGGGAATATTGGTATTTCGTTTAATTAATATAATTGCTAGTTTAGTTAAGGTTGTTGTTATTGGTTGTTACTAGTTAAGGTGGGTGAAATCAAGTGTCAATATCTATTTACAATTTTATAATAATATTAAAAGGTCGAGAAAATTGAATAATAACCCAGATAGACAGGACAATAGTTGTATTCAATGTATGTGTAAATTGTAGACGATTAATACTTATCTATATCCAACGGTAATCTCTAAAGCCAGTAGTTCTCTCCAAATCTCTACCTCTAAAAGAAAATCCTGTAATTCCGCTCCTCTGTCAATCAAAACAGAATTAATTTACTAACAAATAATGCTTTTTTTTTTTTTTTTTTTTTTTTTTTTGAAATATCACATTCTGTCACATCAAGGACATTTGTAATAGTGTTCAGAGAACACACTCACACTCTATTTACAATAAATAAAAAAAAAAATAATAATAATACAGAAACTTAATAATAATAAATACAATAAAATAAAATAAAAATAAATACAATAAAATAAAATAAATGTATATAAACAAAAGAACTAACCTAATCATACACACTCGGGCTTGAGTGGAGGATCTGGCCATTGCCAAAACTCCAATAGATGCTTATTTACAGAAGGTCTCTGGGCCACTGCCGCTTCAACCTTCGAGGAGGATTGTAAGGATGGGTGGTGCTGGATAGAGATTGTGCAAGGGGATTTGGATGATAGGTAAGGTTCTGGTGAAATTTGGAGAATTTTTCTGGAATAAGGTCTAGGACAAATGGGATATTAAGGTCATGGTGTAGGATTTTGTTATTTACATAGAACGGAGCATCAACTATTGTTCGAAGGACTTTAGATTGAAAGGATTGAATACGTTTGATGTTAGAAGCTTTTGCTGTCCCCCACAGTTCAAGTCCGTATGTCCATATAGGTTTCAGTATTGTCTTGTAGATAAGTAATTTGTTTTCAATAGAAAGTTTGGATTTTCTGTTTAGTAGTCTGTATAGCTGGCCGTATCGTCGGTTGAGTTCTTGTCTTTTGAGTCTAGTATGTGGGTTCCACGTTAGTCTTCGGTCTAAATGAAAACCAAGATACCGGACTGTGTCTGAGTAAGGAAGCTGGATGGAATTAAAGTGTACTGGTGGACAGGAGCTGCGTCGGAGTGTAAAGGTAATATGTTGGCATTTAGATTCATTAACTTTAATGCGCCAGTTATTACACCAGTGCTCAATCAAGGTGAGGTGGTTTTGGAGATTTAAGGATGCTATGTTGGGATCAGAGTTGGATGATAAGATTGCGGTGTCGTCAGCGAATGTTGCAAGAAAAGTATCGGGATGAACAGGGATGTCAGCAGTAAAGAGGATGTAAAGCACGGGACCCAAGACGCTGCCTTGGGGAACACCGGCTTTAACGGAGTAGATATTGGAAAATTCTGTTCCACAGCGAACTCGGAAGGAGCGGTCAGAGAGGTAGGATCGGAGGACTAGGTACAAGGACTGAGGTAAATGGATTTTAAGCTTGAAGAGCAGTCCGGAGTGCCATACCCGGTCAAATGCCTGTGCAATGTCCAGAAATGCACCCGAACAGTATTCCTTGTTTTCTAGAGCTGAGGAAATATGATCAACAACTCGGAGTCCTTGTTGAACAGTAGAATGTTGGGAGCGAAAACCAAACTGATGGGAAGGAATATTTTGGGATTCTATAATGGGTAGGATTCGTTTCAACAGGATCTTTTCAAAAATTTTTGAAAGGATTGGGAGTAGGCTAATTGGTCTATAGGATGTTGAGATATTGGGAGGTTTGCCTGGTTTTGGGAAAAGGATAATAGTGGAGTGTTTCCATAGCAGAGGGAAGTAGGTGGTGCGTAGGATACAATTGTAGATATATGTAAGGAATATGACTGCTTTGGATGGAAGTTGTCGAAGGATTTGAGGGGTAAGCAGATCATGTCCAGGAGCTTTACGGGGGATTAGTTTTTTTAATTGAAATTTCACTTCGGAAGGATGAATAGCTTTTAGGGGCAAGGAAAGTGGGATTGGTGATGTAAGGAGTTCTTCTACTGTTATGGTGTGGGCAGGATGGGATTCCGGATGTGAAATAAATGTATTGGATAGGTGAATGGCGAACTCCTCAGCCTTATCTTCGTCAGATGCTGCCCAGGAGCCATCATCTCGTCGGAGGGGATGGGAAATGCGGTGAGGATTTAGGATTTTGGTTGTGGTTTTCCAAAGGGAATTGTCGCGAGAAGAGAGGGAGGATAGGTAGGAGTTGAAGGAATGTGATCTGAAGGTGGCTAATTCCAGTTTTAATTTTTTGCAGTAATAATTATAGGAGCAGCGGTCGGCAGGATGTCGGGTACGTTGCCACAATAATCTGGCACGGCGTTTGGTGTGGATTAGGTCAAGGAGGTGTTGGGGTAGAATGGTCTTTTTAGGAATTCTGGAGGAGTCTTTAGGGAAGGAGGCAGTCCAGGCGGCTTGTTGGATTGTGGTAGTAAAGGAATTTACGGCACTATCAAGGTCATCGGGAGTTTTGAGGGATATGTTGAGATCAATATTATCGGAGATTATTTGGCGGAAAAGGTCCCAGTTTACTGGGCCCCTAATGAATGACGGTGGAGAAGGTTTGGGAACAGGTTCAAGTGAAACATTAAGGATTAGAGGACTATGGTCAGAGGAAAGTTCATTTAGACGTGTAATGGAACAATTGAGGGGACTTAAGCCGCTGTGGATAAAGAAATCAAGAAGATCAGGATTACGGTTGGGATCTGTGGGCCAGTAGGTAGGAGAGTTGGGGAAAGGAGGTGAAAACGTTGGGAATTGAGTGCAGACAGCAGGGTTCGGCCACGAGAATTCGTGGTTCTGGAACCCCATTGTTGGTGCTTGGCATTTAGGTCTGCACCCAAGATGAAGTGATGTCCTAAGGAGTCGAGGAGAGAACTGAATTGGGCATTGGATATGGATCGGTTAGGAGGGCAATACGCTGATGCAAGAGTGACCGGAAAGGAGAAGGTTTTTATCACGATAGCGGTGGACTGTAGGAAATCATGTATTGGTAATGGGAGTACGTGATGGGAGAGGGATTGGTGTACAATTACAGCAGTACCGGCATGTGCTTTTCCGTCAGGGTGGTCAGTACGATATGTCAGGTATTGTGGTATATTGAAGTGCTGTTTAGTGGTTAGTCGAGTTTCAGTAATTAGTGCCACATCAATGTTCTTGTCAAGTAGTAAAGTAGATAGTTCGTCTGTATGATTTCTAACACCATTCGCATTCCAAAGGAGAATGGATATGGGTTTAGGGATGTGAGTCATTTAAGGATTTTTCAGAGGAGGGATGAGGTGAGATACGAGATTCGTGAGGAGTGATATGAGTGGAGTAACAAGGGATTTGAAATCGGTGAGGAAAGATGCTAACAAACTTGTGAGATCTGTTGCATTTGAAGGAGGAGGAATATGAGGAATTTGTTGTTGGTGGTTAGGTATATTAGGATGAAGAGGATTTTGAGGTTGGGTTTGAGGTTGTTGTGGCAGGGCTTGACATTTATCGGTTAAAAACAAATAAAGCTAAAAGAATTTTTCGTGTTATATACCCGATGAGGAAATAATAACCCTACTGAAAAGAATATATGACAAGGGATTAAACCCTTTTTGAATAAATTGATTTCAGCCAATTTATTACAAGCAACATATCGACATATTTCTAAAATATAATCACAGTAATATATATTGAGATGTAATAATTATACATTACATCAATCAAAAGAAAAATAATTTCGCAGCAAATCGATGCCGTTAGAAAGATATCTTTAGCAGTAAATCGATATATATATGTAAAAGAGTATCGATATTAAGTTGTTATCCTTGACTGAAGCACCAGATTGTGTCAAATTTGACATAAGTTTCTGATAAGGCTGATTTCATCGCGTTTTATTTAAATAACTTGTTACAGTAACTGAACATTGTGGAATTTTCAGTTCTTAATAAGCTTTATAATGAAATCATTCATGTATAGAATATATACATATTGAAGAGAAATGAGACACTATTAAGAATAAATGCTAACATTTTTTTTTTTTTTTAATGGAAATACAGCTTACGTCATATTTTGACGTCTGGATGAATTATATATTCTAAAAATAACAGATTACAACTCTAGAATTGCATTTGTAAATATGGCTTCTAGAAGACTTGAAGTATTGAAAAGACACCTGAATAATAACAATTTATCAGTTGTATCCTTTTTTATTTTATTTCAGCAAAATCATTTGATCATAACTTGTGTATCTATGTATCCAACATACTAATTGTAAACTGTCATGATTAATTTATAGAAGTATTCCTTTATTATATTCCTTAATTTGTGCTAGAAATTATGTTCTGCTGAATCAAATTTGATCACTGACAAGGAATTTAATTATACAGTAAATCATGGAGCACTATCTCAAAGTGAAAGAAGATTTTATGAAACTAATGGATATATTATTAAACCTGACCTTTTTGATGAAGAACTATTGGATTCTTTTAGGTAATATCATTAGTTATTTATGTTCAGTAATATATTGTTTTATTAACTTAAGTAAAATTTTAGAGAATGTCTTCAACACTTTCAATTGTTAATATTTCAATATATGAGTCTTTCAATTGACAGAATGACCCCGATTTCAACATTTTTGATGATTAATTTTATTAATATTCTTAGTGGAAAAATTTATACATTTATTCACAGTTATGTATTTCAAAACTGCAATCACTTACACTGGAATCAACTTACTCATTGTCTGTACAGATCTTATAAATTTTCCAAATTGAAATATCAATAAAATGGCTTTACTCAAAAATGTTAAAATTGAAGTTAGTCATTCTGTCAACTGAAAGGCTCAATACTATCAGATATATTATATAGAATTAATAATAATAATAAAAGGCTTAGCGAACCCGAAGGTACGATGCCGACACCACCAATCGCTTATTACACACCTCCCTCCACTTCGGATCGGCTTTAATGCAATCTTCCCACCTTTGCTTCGGTCTACCCCTCGGATACTTACCATTCGGCACAGCAAATATTAACCTTTTAGAAATTCTCTCGTTACTAAGCCCAACAACTTTACAAGCCCATTTGATTCGCCGCGATGAAATCATCTCAATTATATTGCCCGGATATAGTTCATGCAATTCGGCAACTGATTATATAGAATTATTATATTATAATTCCAAAACATGGTAACTAGCAAAAGTTAATTTTCCACATTGTTAAAATGTTTGTTATAATATAATATTTATATAATCTTCATGTATAGTTCTAGGTTTATTGATTATTGTGAAGGGCGTATTCCAAAAGGAAACATTACTTTAATGAAAGATATATCTCTAGCTAAAAAAGGAGCTACTGGTCAATATTTATATAATAAAGCTCAGGATATATTATATGATGAGGTTTTTGAGAAATATCTCTTTCATGAAAAGGTATTTAAGTTGTTCAAATAATTATACTATAATACAAATTTATAATATTTTAATATTGTAACTGTTACATTTTCAGTTATTGGAAATTGTTGAGTGTTTTACTGGCCCCAACATTAAAGCTGTAAATTCAATGCTGATTAATAAGCCCCCTGATTCTGGAACCCTTACCTCACGACATCCACTACATCAAGATCTCCATTATTTTCCCTTTAGACCAGCTGATCGAATAGTTGGAGCATGGACAGCATTAGAGGATGTAAATATTGAAAATGGTTGTTTAATTGTAATTCCTGGGAGCCATAAAAGTCAACTACTGCCCCATGAGTATCCTAAATGGGAGGTTAGTATCGACAAGTCTTTAATAGCTTCGTTCGTTGTAATCATTATTATTTAATTATAAAATCTGCATTTGATTATTATAATCAATTGTTTATTATAATCCCAATAGATTTGATTGTTTCAAAATATTTTAAATAATACCATATGCTTTAATTTTTTTTTCTCACCTGCAGGATTTCATTATAATATTTAAAAATTTACAATTAATTCATTATCCTCTCATTAAAGAATATAAAATTTAACCATAACCTCATTAAAAGCTTCATCAACCCCTCGATCAACTTCCTCCACAAATATATAATGTATAGATCCTCAGACAATCCTAGCGAGAAGTCCTGTTTTTTTCTGCACTAGAAAAAAATAGGCTATTGATGGCCAATAGAGTATTTGAAAAGGAAGCCAATACTGCCAATACTTGTGTGAAGACCTAGTGCCTGACCACTATAGTGCCAGCCACTGATGGCCTCGTGTGCAAGCACTTTATATTTATTTTTTAGCTATTTAGAGGAATGTACTTTTTATTTTTAAATTAAATTAAAGCACAAATAGATGCATATACTTCTTCATTTTACAAAATAATTACAATGAAAAAACAAAACAGTTTTCTTGAATGCTGCTGTATCATAATTAAAATCATATAAATAGTGTAACCTCATAAATAAGAGAGAGAATCACTTTATTATCATAAAAGGGTGCTGCCCAATTACATTGGGTTGCTTTAAACACAGCATACTTATTAATCGCTACAGACAATTTTCCAAAACTAATATACAATTATATAGTAACTCTTATATAAGTTCAATATAAGAGAAACGTTGTTTAGAATCAATTTCAATAGATTCTCATAAAAAAACATGACTTTCATCAATTTTGAGAAAAATAGCTTGGATCATTAAGTCATTCTTTGGTTCCTCAGTCATTTATTACTAGAGCTCCGATCTAAAGATCTAAATGTTCTAAAGAAAAGATTGTAAAAATTAATTTTTAGATCTAAAAAAAGATCTTAAATCATTTATTTAAAAAAAAAATAGTATATAATATTTGTAGAGTTTAAATATGGAAAACATACATGAATACAGTGAAACTTAAAAGGAACTTTAAACCATAATTTTTAAAAAAATCAGATTTTTAAGAATTAATACTATTTAATAAAAAAAAGTGTAAGCTCAAAACTCATTGCTAATTCTATCAATCAATTCAAACCAGGAGTGATGTACAGCAATTTATGCTCAGTTCTGGAATGACCAGTGGCAAGGCTCCTGTATATCACTCCTGGTAGGATATTACCACATTAACAATTAAAAATATGTATAAAGAAATACCTACTTACTGAATTATTCAATTTCAAAACCCATATATATCAGGCAAGTTCCTAAACTTATTGATGAGCTCAGCACTGAGTTTAGTAACTTGGCCATATAGAAAGAAATTAAACTGGATATAAATATGTAAATGAACTATCGACCCCAAAAACCGATGAAACTGCTGAGCCATCAGTGATTCAATCGATGAGTTTAAAAACTTGCCCAAATATTTATATGATTGTAGGAAATTAAATTTTTAAAAATGTTATCTTGGAATTCAGCCTAATTCTATTTGCTCATTTTTTCCATTAGTAAGTTGATATAGTTTCACATTAAAGTATACATAATAATACATGAATATTAAACTCTGGATGAAGACACAAGAATAGATCTTTTTATGTGAGACATTGCAAAAAAGATCTATTTTAGTACAAAATAGTTTAAAAAAGAATTTTTAGAAATTTGTATTTTAAGTCTACTACTCAAGATTGGCATAGATCTGTTGAGAACTCTGTTTTACCCTAAAAAAAAAAAAAAAAAAAAAATCAATCCTAAAAATCTGATTCCTTTATGTATTTATTAATTGTTTGTGACGCTTAGGGGGGTGTGAACAAAGCTTATCATGGAATCCAAGACTACAATATTGATGAAGTTATCCCTATTATAATGAAAAAAGGTGAAACAATATTTTTCCATCCACAACTTATTCATGGTTCCGGCCCTAATACCACTAAGGTAAAGTATGCGAATATATTTACTTTAATGTGTTAATAATTCGATATAATGTTGGTTGTACTAATTTATCTTTACAGGGTTTTCGTAAAGCTATTTCAGGCCATTTTGCTGCTTCAGAGTGCTATTACATTGATCTCAAGGGTACCACCCAAGAAAATATTGCTGTTGAAGTTGAGGAAATGGCTAGGAAAAGAGGCACACCTCTCAATATACAAGTAATCAATAATTCAAATTGTTATTACATTTAAATTGTCTCCAAAAATGCCACAAACATAAATAAATAAATATATATATGAAATCTTCAAATGAAACAGTGTAAAGAGACATTGACTCTCCGTTTTATGATTTTTATTGATTAATTAATGAACTATTTTATTTTTATTTTTTTAATGTTTGTACTATTTCAGGAAATTTGGTACTTTAAAGGCAGAGTGGTTCGGGGAGAAGAAAGAACTCTGTGAACATATAACAGTACTCTATTAGATAATTATGGATTGGTCATGAGGTGTATTACTAAACAATAGAGGTCTTCCACATCTAATTCAGAAAATTTGCACTTATATAGCACCATTTCAAATATTTATGGAGTCAGTTTCATACTTATATCTAGACTCTATTTCAATAACACTTTTAATTGTAATGGGGTATGGTTGTAGGTGTGGGTATTGTTTTTAAAATAAAAACATATAGTGCTGTTATAAAAAAAAAAATTTAAGTAATGTCTTTAAAAGCGCTAATTTGAGACTAGGTTGATGATGAAAATGAATCATATAGGGACATCATTATGTTTGGGCTATTAGTAGTTGATATATTTAATAAAACTATCTGAAGCCCTTTTTATATAATTTGGTTTCAATAATGTATTTAAACCAGCCTATTTTTTCTATTGATCAAACCTAGGAATAACAATACTGTTTAAATCCAGCCCTGATGAGATCTTTAGAAACAAAAGGTTAAATTTTCAGCCAGGTTCGATTCATAACAATACAGAAGGATAAACATGGCTAAAATGTCGATATAATTTAAAGTTTTGCAAACAATGAGTTTTCAGCCTTGTTCTTGATTCATTAAGAATCTGATAATGTAGTATAAACCATTTAAATTGTCTGAGACATCAATTTAGAATTGAGCAGCCAACATTATTAATACTGTTTCCATAACTAAAATTAAGTCAATTAATTACAACTATTAAGTATTTTCCAACCAGGAATTTTTATTCCATAATTTCCAATGGTTTTTGCTTTGGACAAAATAAGAATGATGTTCATTATTAATAAACATAATACCATTATAATTATTATTATCTTAGTACTCTGACTCGTTCCCATGTCTAGGTTTCCATCAGCAAACTCCACCAGTAGTTGCAGTTTCATGCAGCAGCCATTTAGTTGTGCATCCCAAGGACGTTCTATCAAAAGACTCCTGGGCAGTTCTTTTCCATCCATACTGCTCATTAACTGAGTTATAAATATCCCGATTTGTAAGTCTTCTCTTACATCCACCAAATATCCTCAGAAGGAGTTGTATTAGCATAGAGTAGATTATGATTCTATACTTTTAGAGATAACTTTAAATCAGTTTATATTCATTATGGTGCATATCATTTCTTGTGGGGTGTTGGAATAATTTTATTTCAGGTAGTGGAACTATCTACCCTCTCTCTAAGGTACTATCTTTGTCTGCTGTTGTGGGGCTGCCTGCAGATATGCACTCCCATCGGGCTTGTTAATGATCTTGATCTGTAGTGTAATGTACTGTTTCCCCAATGAAGGGCCACAGGTTGACTCTAGCCGGGTGATGAGGTGCCAAGTCCAATTATAAAATGTAATCAAATCTTTTTATTTTTATGTAATGGATGGCAAAAAATAAACAAAATTTTTAAAATCTGTAGGGTGCGTAGCTCTGTTTATAAAATATAAATATATTGATCTAGGAAAAGTCTTTTATTTGTAATAAATAAGATATCAAACATTGTAGTCATAATGTTAATAAGAATAATGCTGAGTAATAATCATTCTTTGTATATTTAAATAATTTTCATAAATGTGAATTCTTTGATAAAAAAAATTATTGATTTTAAATCCTCTAATTTTGGCCTTTCGATGTGATTAGTCAAATTAATTAATAAACATATTAGCTCTATTGTGTTTTTAAAGCAATTAATAGTTGCTCTATATTAAATATAGGAAGATATGCTTGTAACTTGAATTACTTAGAAATTATTGATGAAAAAAAAGCTAAATTTTTGTCAGGAGTTTACAAAACCAATAATTTAAAGTGATTGAACTGTCTTTGATCATTTATTTTATTCTTACATCCTTTTGTCACAATATTACTTCATATTTTATTTTTAATTTCAAAAAATCTAATGATTTTTTCTCCTATAAATGTTAATATCCATCATAATTTTTTTAACATAAACATGTGATATTGTAGTGTGATGTATTTTATTGTTGAAATATATTTTGAAATGTATCTATTTTTCCATAATAAACATTTAAAAAAAAAACAGAACTATAATATTTTATGTACTTTTAAGTAAGAATGTCTAGACACATTGGTATGAATGAACCTTAATGTATCCTATCTGTTAATAATGATGTATCAACTGCATCCCAAACTGTCCAATCACATATCACAAACCTTGATGAATGGTGTAAAAACTGGAGAATTAAAATAAATTCCAATAAATCTCATCAAATTGCCTTTACCCTGCGTCGCAAACCCATGACCTCCTGTCCTACAGTATCCTTTAATAATTCCCCACTTATCCCAGTTGAACAAATCCGTTACCAAGGACTCCACCTGGACAAACGACTCACATGGAATCCTCATACAAGACTGAAACGACAAGAAACTGCTCGACGCTTCCGACTACTCCAACACTTACTAGACAAACGCTCTAAGCTTTCAATCAATTACAAACGACTCATACATATGACAATAATAAGACCTATTTGGACTTACGAAATTGAGCTTAGGGGCTCCACTAAACCATCGAATTCCTCTCGTATCCAATCCTTGCAATCAAAAATCCTCAACGCTCTTTACTTTATCACAAATAAAATCATCCATAAAGACCTTAATATTCCATATGTTTGCGATTTGGCCCAATCCAGATACCTATCCTTCCATAACTAACTCCAGAACCATCCAAATCCTCTCGTTTCAAACCTTGCTTCCTCCTCGATTCCTGATAACTCGTCCGAGGCGTCTGTAAAGAAGATGGCCTCGTGATCTACTTATGTAAATATATTATAAGAGTGCTACCAATGGGTAGTTTCTCGACAAGCATTTTCATGTGATTGTATTATTACTGTGTGCACATTTACTGGTTGTATTATTTTTTTTTATAATATCAAAGTAAATATTAATGAATAAAAAAAAGAAATTTTTTTCTAATTATATAAACTATTTTATTGAAAACTGAGTGACAATCAAATTCCAACTTTATGAAACTAAATTTTGATTATATAGATATTTTTTTATGAACAAAGTGAAATACCTACTATTGAGTGGAAAAGTCAACAATTAATTTCTGGATGTAAAATTTTGGCCAAAATAAAGTTATATTAAAACGAACCATTTTGTACTAACTTAGTTTCTCACCGAAATTTATCAATCAATGACAATTCTATAGTTGATCTAGATCAGAGGTCTCCGAACTATAAGGCACACAGGCCACATTGAGACCTGCAGTAAGTCCTGTGGGCTTGGGATGAAAAAAAAAAAAAAAAAAAAAAAAAATGCTTGTTCTATAAATGAAACTTGAGTTGTGAAGTAAATTTCTGATAGAAACAATTAATGCAATAAATGTTGTAGTAACCTCGTGTTTTGGTTGATTTACTAAATTTTATATTTTTTAAATTTTCATCATGCAATCAAAGAAACTTGCACGGGCAATAGTTTGGAGACGCCTGAACTAGATAATACTCTCCTATGCTCTCTGAAAAGTTATTGGTAGAGACACTAATGTTGATTTTAGTTTTTAAATAGTATGGTCCTTAAATAAAAATTGAAGTAAACATTTTTTTTTCTCTTTCAAACAAATGAAACAACGGTAAGTAAATATCTAGAAAAATGTAATTTGTATTTTGAGACTACATTAGGAGAGATAACAATTATTTTTGAAGTACCTGTTTTTTATTTATATAAAATAAGTTTTTTCAGCTAAATAATAGTTTAAATGGTATTAAACAAAAGGAAAGCAATTCACAAAATATGCAGAAGTAAGTTAAATGTGGTTTTGAATGGAATCAGTGCATTCTGTTTATATAAGAAAATACTAATTCAGGTTAAAAAATTTTGAATGCCAAATTGAAGATGAAAAAATAGAATGATTCTACTCAATGAAAAAAAAAAAAAGAGGAATCTAAAATACTGTTAACTTTTTATCAATCTATTGATATAACAGCAATGGTATGAGCAGGGTTAAATGTATAATATAATAGGTTTGATAATTAAAAATTATAAATGAATATTTATTTATGTTACCCACAAATTATCCAACATTTGAAGTCCAAACTGCGGATTGGTTACCTTCTGTCAAATGCCATCAAATTAATATCTCTGTAGGTAATTGATCAACAACATTATTAAATTTATCCTGATGTTACTATTAAACATAATAATACAAACAATTTTTGTTTTAAATTTTCAATAGAGTATAGGTTTTTCAAGCACGAGATGTCAACATAAAAGTCAATTGTTTTAAAATATCCTTCAAGAAATAACAAATCAGCCAATATTTAAGTATAACAGTTAGAAGTATCAGAATTGAGGAGCAAATAAAATAAAAATTAAAACAGTTCTAATCTATAGAGACGTACAAATAATCATCACTCACTTTAAATAATTTTTAAATTAATATCGACAAAACGAATGTAAAGTGTATTACTCTTAGTATATTGGATATTGAAAACAAGAGATTTATTTTGCTTGATTTAGACAATTTTCATAGTACAATGGTTATGGAGAATATATCAAAGCATACTAAAATATAATGTTTGGATACATAAAATGTAAAAATACAAATTTTAAAACAAATGAATGTATATTTCAAGTTTTGCATTCGGATTCATCTATAATAATAGATCTAATCTCTAAGCTCTTGGGTATATTTTCTATGATAATTCTGACAATTTCAGGTACTTCTGCCATAGCACCAACACCACTATCACCGCACATCAACACTTTAGCAATTGGTGGTATTTCTGTATATCCCCAACTTTTAAGGATATCAATCTGTGTTGAAGTTATGGGGTGATTCCACATTTTGGTATTCATGGCAGGACAAAATATTAATGGTTTACGTATATCCCATGCACGGATGGTGCAGAGCAATAAGTTATCACATATCCCCTGAAACATATTAATCATTAAATATATACCAGAACCACAATTCTGTAGCTTAAAATGGTGGCACATAGAATTATCATTAGAACCATAATAAATTATTTGAAAAAAAAACTTACTGTAGCAATTTTGGCTAAAGAATTGGCATCTAGAGGGGCTATAACCAATAAATCTGCCCATTTAGATAGATCAATGTGCAGAACAGGATCACCTCTTTTCTTCCAACTATTCCACTCATCTTCATCAGTATAACCTTCTACAGGTACTAGTTCATTTTTTGGTACAAAATGCAATGCTTTTTCAGTCAAACAGTACTTTACATTTATTTTGAAATGTGGACTTGCTTCTTTAATAAAGGTTTTGATAAGCAAGGGGAGTTTTATGGTAGCCACACTAGCTGTAGCACAAAATAAAATATTACAATCCTGCATGATTTTCACTAATTTTCTTGTTTTATCTCTTCTTCTTTAAATCCTAATTTCGACCAATCTTCTTTGGCCATCAAGTTATGGTCCATTCTACAAGCTAGGTACTCTTTGGCTTCTTGCCTACATTTAGAACTATCACTGTTCGTATTTCTGAGGCAAATCATATATTTTAACATAGTCCTTTTACACTGACCATCGTGATCCAAAGGAAAACTGCCTTTTTCGGGTGGGGTTGGTGTAAACTTTTTTTGACTAAATGTCAGAGAAGACATTAGATAATATTTCTGACGTTATCAATTTACATAGATCTTGTTTCAAATTAACCTCTTATCATTATTACAACCTTCCATGAATGAACAGGTTATTCAACTTTCTTAAAAAAGAAAGGAAAGTTTCTAAAGTCAGTGCTGAGCTCATCGATGATATCGTTTCATCTGGTTTTGTGACAAATAGAGGTTGGCACGAAAAAAACTGAATAGATTTATTCCAATTTTAACAGAGGGAATTTTTAAAATTGTTTTAGATTAAGAAACATTAAAATATGGAAAATAAATCTCGATTTCAAATAAAACAAATAATTCTTACAAATAACTTTGAAAAGTCGCTTTTCAACCTACTATCAACAGATAGCAGCATAAACAAGGAGTAGAAAAGGGAGGGTTTGTCTCCTTTTGGTCTGTCTACTCTTGTTTTTACTCTATATAAATTTTGATCGGTTTGGATTTACTGTTTTACTTCTTTTAGTAACTAAAACAGATCTTGATAAAACAAAAGTATTTGGCCTAATAACATTTTAATCCGCAATTTTATTTTGAATAAGATTGTTCTAAATTTTTTCCCTATGATAGATATGTCATGATATACATTACTTGTATTGGTAGAACTATAATTTTACTAAGTAAATTTAAAGTTATTTTCCACACAGGCATTTATAGTTGCCATTCATACCTTTAGATTCATTTTAAGTTATAATCTTCAAATGGAAAAGAACAATAGATTTTTTGAAGGATGTGGTAAGGAAGGGCCGATTAAATGTATATTTCTTTGTGAATTTCATCCCACTGCTGGTCCAAAAATAACTTGCCAGGTAGTGTTAGTAAATTAAATTGTTTCTATTAACTAAGCTGAATGTTGTGGTGAATATTTTCGTTAAAGGTTCCAGAAGATCACATATCTAAGGATACATTTGAAGCTGTTAGTGTTTATTTAATACCCAAGACACAGCTTCTGCGAAGTACTTTAACAATGTGAGTATTACAAATGAATTAATATGGTTTAAAAATGTTGGAATTTGAAGTTAGCAGTTTTAAAACTATTAATTGGTGTATTTTGACTGATGGAATAGCTTGATTTTTTTTTCATGTAAAGCCATCATAACTTATGTTTATTAATTGATCACATTTAAATAGATGAATATATGGCTCGTTGCTCAGTTGGTAAAAAAGTATAATATAATACTTCTAAATATTGAAATTAAGCACTTATATAGTTTCTTGTTCACTGCTGTCAATAAGGCTATGATATAATTAAATGATACTTTATTTTAGATTTTATATAGTTATGTGACTTGTGAATCTTAAAATTTGTAAAAGTAGGTTTTTGACTTAAAAGTCTTGGCCATAATTTTGCTCTTTATTATAGCTTGTAACTAATATTATTATTATAAGTGAAACTGAAATCAGTGTTATACATTATCTTAAAACATCAGTTTAAATTGAATAGAAAGTTGATTATATTGCAAAAACTGAGTGATTGTTTTCATTGTTAATAAATTAAAAGTGTAATATTAGGACTGGAACTAGGAGAGGGCAAAAAAGGCAATTGCGCCAGGCAGCAAAGTTTGAGAATATTTTTTCACCTTAATAAAAAATATTTCTTTCTACTTTTTGCTTGTGTTGGGCTTAATTCAGCCCTGAATTAATATGGTCTAACATAAACTTCATATGTTTAATATTATCTAATGATGATATGTATTTCAAAATTCATTATCTAAAATGATAATAGATAATGTTGACTTTTATTGAATTCAGTGAGGTCAATGAATGTGTATTCCAACAGCAAAACAATAATTAAAAGTAAAACTTTTACATGATCATTGTCTCAATTTTATGTAAATTTTTTATCATGTAAGTCTCATGGCTGATTTTTGTTATGAATATTTATTTGTTCTTCCAAAACATTTCTAGGCTTTTGATCATTAATTGCCACTTACACTGTGCTTTGTTTATATAATATGACATTATAATGCTCAAGATAATTTTTTTTTATTAGCATTTTAAATAAATAACCATTTTCTTTCTTCAATTTTGTTGTAGAACTGCATGTGGCATCAAAATAATAGGTTTTCCAGTAAGGATTGATGATAAGAAATATGCTCGAAATGCTTTTCAGTTCAACGTATGCTTTGTCTGTGACTATTGGGCAAGAACAGTTCAGTATGAGTCAGTTGTTAAGAAGCTTTCAGATTTTCTGGTTCGTACTTTAAATTTTTTATTCAAGTAGTTTAGGTTGTTGGAATGATTGAGTTATATCCTTTTTATGTAGATTGTTCTGGAAATTGAAAGTAGTTTTCTATCACAAAGGGAAGAGAATAAATCAATGCATGAAAGTTTGGTTCTTATGTTTTCAAAAGTGTTGGAAGACATCAATAAAAGCAACATGTGCACATTGACAGGTAAAACTTGTGTTATTATCTGCTATTACTTAGCTATATTCTTCTATATAACAATCATAGTCTCTCAACATTATTTTGTAAAATATAAAATTAAATTAAATCAGGAAAGGATGAGGAAATTGCTAATTATTTCCTCATTTAATGAGAATTAGCAAATTAATTGTGTCCTTTAAGTTAAGAATTCCTTATTATGTTCTAAAATGTATTTATTTTAAACTATCCATAACATCTATGTGTATTTATGTATTCATTTTATCATTTCAGAAGGTTCAGCTTCTACTCACTTAAAGGTTGTTAAGGTGAGACAAGATCCGTTGCCAGTTCTTGACCACCAGGTGCCCGTGTTCATTGATGGTTCCGAACATTACCAAGCAGAGCATTGGGATCTCACCACTCAACAGGTAAACCACTTTGATGCAAGGATCTTATCTTCTAATATTATAGCTTGGATTTTGTTGGTTAAAGTAATTTCAGTATTTGAAATAAGACAAATGATACATAAATTATTTAAGTTATTTTTTTCTGAACTGCAAAATAGCAAACTTTATATTAGTAACTAATTCATGAAAATAGTTTGTTTCTTTGATGCCTCTGGTAGATTATACTTGACATGATTTCAGTTCGATTTTGGAATATCAACTGCCACAGTGGTAAAATGGTCCAACTTTTGTTAAAATATTTATATTACTTATATTGTTATCATTGGAAATAAAAGCATTGGTAGTAATGGTACCATTGCAGAAATTTATGACACCAATTTCTGTAAATTAAAAAAAAATACACTTGGGATATTGTCCATTGTTATTTCTAAGGGAAGATGTTTAGCCCTTAAAAAGAATATACTTTTTACAATTTTAAATACTGGTAATAATTTTAACAAGTTGGTTATTTTATATCCTTAACAGAGAAATCATCATCGATTACTAATATCAAATATGTTCTCTTTGCTAGAAAGTTTTATAAACAGTTATCTATCTCATATTAACCAAAATTTTAATTTATTAAATTTAGCTTTTACTGCAGGAACATCATCATATACATTTTTTTAGAATGTTTTATCACCTTTTTTTTTTAATAATGCAAATACTTATTTTCCTTGAGTTGTCCCTATATATTATTTTGAAATCTGTATAAATTTCTATTCTGTTTTCTATATTCCATAATAAACCCATATGCCTAGGTTTTTTATGTATCTGTCATTCTGATCCTTTTTTGGAGGTGAACAATGCGCAAAAAATATTCACTATTATTAAACAGTGGAAATTTATGAAATTTCTTCTGTAAGTAAATGGATGAATTCTTTAGTTTTTACTCATTTAAACTAAATTAAATGAGTAAGAAAGGCAGTTCCGTAGTAGAGCTCTTTCCAGAAAATGGAAGCTTTGTCTTTATAAGATGATAGTGCGTCCAGTCTTGCTGTATGGTTGTGAGACTTGGACTACTTCCCAGGCTTGTGAATAGGAACTTCTGGTCTTTGAAAGAAGAATCCTCAGACGCATATGTGGTTGTGTTCTCATCAGAGGAGAGTGGAAAAGGAGGAAAAACCAGGAGCTGTACACCATGTTTAAGGAGTCCAATATAGTTCGAGTGATGAAAATTTCAAGACTGAGATGGGCAGGAGATGTGGCTAGGATAGGCAGGGAGGATCCACCAAGACAATTACTGATGGAGCCACTCCTTGGTACCAGGAGAAGAGGAAGACCAAATCTGCGATGGGCTGATGGTGTTGCTGCTGATGCAACAAATATGCTGGGGCTTCGGAATCGGATGGCGACTGCAGAGGACCGAGAAAATTGGCGGAAGCTGCTGGAGTAGGCCAGAATTTGACACCAGATTTTAGAGCCACGCTAATAATAATAATAAACTCATTAGAAAGATGTCCTGTTGGATTTTTTATGTAATTATTTTATTAAGTGTTGTTTTTATTACAGATTGAAAAAATTATCAATTTTGAATATTACTAACTTTGTTTTTGAACTTTCTTTAAAATTTCAGGTACTACCATTTATTGATGGTATCAATCATGTTGCAAAAATAGCAGCACAAGCTGATGTAGACAATAATCTAGTCAAAACATGCCTTCAAAACCTAGTGTGAGTATAGAATCTTCTTTATATATATATTATATTTCACACTTTTTAACACTTACCTTCCCATTGATGACAAATTGGGAGAGAGATATCCTAGGGCAATCAACCTATTCTAACAACCTATTCTAAGTGGGAAATTTGAGATTCATTCCATGGGTCCATTACGAAAAAGAATATATTTATTTGGATACAAAATTAAAAAGAGGGATTATGTTAACATAACTTTGAACTTATTAGCCATTATTGAATTTACAAGTTCTTGGTTGTCCGGTAACTAAATTACAATTTTAAAGTAGTTTGACTAGAGAAATTACATTTTTAGTCAAATATATTATAGGGTGTGAGATACATATAAATTTATTATAAAATTTTTAAATATTACTGTTGACTTTTTTGTTTAATTTTTTACTGTTTACCTAATTCTTTTAATTTATAGGTATTATTTGGTCGTGAAAATGGTTCCTATCTTTCAGTACTCTAACTCTTATACGGTAACACCAAAACTAAGACAGCTTGCTGTTGACAAAAAACTTCAAGGAGACTGTCTACGCTATGTTGCCAAGTCAGGTTAGTCATTTTAATGTTAGTATGAAAAATTTATTTTCATATTGTAAAGATTTTGTATATTGTCAGTCGCAATAAACTTTTCGCACGTTTAATTGATTCTGAGCACAAAAATTGTTTAAACCTTTTGCACTAATATAAGCTTTCCTACCTTTGTTAGTGAGGAAGCAAAATGCTAATTCCTATTTTTTAGTTCTCATTAAATTATTTCCCATGAAAAATTATTTTCTCTCATCTACATAATCATTTCAGTTATTATTTATTTACAGGTTGGCAGTTGCCCAACTTCAGAGATGTTTTCAAACTTTATTGTTCAATGACACATGGAACTACAGTTCGAGATTTATGTGTCAGGTACAATCCATCTTCACTTAAGATTGATGAACGGAAATTAGTCCAATTTGGTTGTGTACAAGGCCTAATACGCAGGATCCATAAGGTAATTTAAATAAATATTGATTAAAAACAGAAATAGTAACTTGGTTAAAGAAAAATATCATTAATCAATTTTATTTAATTATTTATAAATTTCTTATTCATTGTTTATAATATTTTTAGTTTATAGGAGATTATTGCACTGTTAATTCAATATTAAAAAAAAAAAAAGAGTTAAGTTAGTTTTAATTAATTGTTACACAGATCTTTTAATTGCTCAATTTCATTTATATGTGTTTGTATTGTCAATAACTATATGTTTATTAACATATATGTGTGGAAAAAAAAGTTGAACATGCTTTCTTTAAAATATAGTTAAGGTATAATGAGGGTATAACATTAGAATAAAGGGTTACACTCAGTAATAAATAAATTTGATAATTATTTATTCAATATTTTGAACATTAAATACAAAATTTTAATTAATTCTATAATGTGTAGTTTTATGAATAAATAGAATAATGAAGATTTTATCAGTCAGTGTATTCAGACATGAAATTTAGAATTACGTTTATATTTTTTGTTATAGTATCCCATTACTGTAGGGGATAATGAAGATACTGTCATCAATAATAGATTTACTGGCTTATTATCGACAGATGAAATATGTTGCAATCTTGGAATACCAATGAGCCAATTAGAAGCTACAATTGAAGCTGATCCAAATGTTATTGTAATTTCCAAATAGTAAGCTAATGAATTAATGTTATTATGGAACTGAGAAAAGTATTATTGTTTATTTTGAGTTTGATCAATGTACGGGTAATATATTTTCAATAATTATTTTATAAGACGATTATTATATTGCCTTACACAAAAATGATTGTCACTGAACACAGATGGTCAAACAATCCGTTCATATATTATTACAGTAAGGCTCGAAATTGGTTTTGTACCAAATATAAGCTCCTGTCATGCTCAAATACCACGAATGGGGTACCGTTGGATTCAGAATTTCACGGGGGGTTAGCGAATCGTATTCTCCACTTTTGTTTTTCTTTCTAAAATAAATACAAACATACAAACAAGTCGATACAAACATTTTGCTAGGCTTCGATACTGGAACAGTGGTAGGTCTGTAGATCGATACGGGACAAATTGGATCTTAAAGATTTTGATGTGTACAGCAAGACCCGAATAGTTCCTTCGGCACTATCGGATCCTGCCGAAAAACTGCACTTTTAAGCCGAAAAACATACTATTTTCGAGATAACGCAAGGCATAGGGTTCGCATCCACACAACCTTACATTAATTGCAGTACTGTCATTGAATACATGTCTCATTTCGTCGACTTGAGGTCTCTATGATCGAGAGAGGGGGAGTTTATATTATTCATTGATGGTGTTTTTGATCGGCAAGCCATATCATCGTTAATTTTTCACCAAATCTCAAGATTGAGCCACCAATTTCGAAGGCTTCCTTCTCCTTCAGACTGGCAAAATAGTCCAATCACCCAGAAAATTCAGGCAAACAAGTTATGAAAGAAAATAAACTTTATTTGCGAATAACTGAAAAATTACACACTTTTCCCTTGGTTATTCCCATGATTATATAAACATTACTAAATTCCCTACAAAAGGAAAAAACAATCATCGCAATCGGACAATTTTTAGCAAATATACAGCTTACTGAAATTTGTATACATGTTGGTTCCAAACAAAATTGAAGATTTAAATTAATTTTTGTTTCCTTTGTGGATTATATTTATCGATAAAGTAACATTTGATGTCTTAATCTTTTGATAAGTTGCATTTTCTTATTAATTTGGCATTTGATAACAATATGCTTTGCGAATTTTTCACACGGGCCTACTAGTGATTAAATAATTTCCTTTTCAGTTTTTGTAAATTTGTAATATTCTTTAGAAAAAAATATCATTTCTTTATATTTAATTGCCAGTACAATTTTAAGGCATGGTAAATCATAGGCAAATATTAGCAGTTACATATAATAAATTTTATGTTTCTCCATAGTTCGCTGGTGGCTATAATGTAGCATGGCCAAATTTTATTAATTCACGAAATATCTCCAAAAAGAAAAAAAAAATAATAAAAGATTGGTTATTCTGAATTAAAAATAGTTAAAATAAATTATATAAAACACTTTTACTTTGTACAAATTATTATTGGTTTTTAATTTATACGTTGAGATGAAACATGTCAAATATATCTGCTTAAGGTATGAAGCTAACGAAAGAAACCTTGAACATTATTATTTGGATTCAAAGTAACCTTTTTTAGGGAAGGAGTTGGTTGGGTGTTCAATCAATATATAATACTAAATTATATAATAGTATTTTATTTGATTCACCGACGTTTCAATCTACATTGTAGGTCTTCATCAGGGCTATAAAAGATACAAACTATAAATATTAATTGGTATAAGGTAAAAAAAGATTAAATGAATTATCAGTAGGTATTAAACAAATATAGGTTACCAGATAAAGAGAAATTAATATCTTTATCCGATAACATGTACTTGTTTAATATCTACTGATAATTCATTATTTTTTTTACCTTCTACCAATTAATATTTATAGTTTGTATGTTTTGTAGCTCTGATGAAGACCTAAAATGTAGATCAAAAGATCAGCGAATCCAATAAAATACTATTATAATTATAGTATCATATATGACCAACTCCTGATACACACTAAACACTATAAATGCTAAAAAAAATTTTTAGCGTTAATCGATTTTTCTGAGGGTCTACCAGATTTTTTATCACTTGTTCAAAGGAATTTTTTTGAATTCAAGAAAAAAAATTCAATTGTTTCTATTTTGGAATATTTTATTTTTTGTAAATATATCAACTGCTCTGAAATAAGTGGCAGTAAGTTAGAAACAAGTTAGATGAAGATAACTGAACTTTAATTTTTATAACATTAAGTGATCCGGAAATTGAAGTCTGAATTTTAATTTTTAGAATATATAGTATTGTATGTATATCAGTCAACTTAAAAAGAATTACTTATCGCCGCTCACCCTCTCTATGTACCCTAGTCACTTGACGGGGCTGCCACCTTCGGCTCTATACCTGATTTGGAGGAGGGATTACTCCCTCTTTACAGAAGTTCTTCTAACTCGACCTGCCCTTGACCTGGTAGTCTCCTATCAGTTCGCCTAATTAATCATCTGCAGGGATTTTCACCCCACCTCAGAAAAAGTTGCTCGGCTTATTGGGTCTCATCACGTTCGGGAAGGGGTTGGGGTTGAAGAGGAGAGGCTAAGTAGTCGCTGGTGACCTTGTGTCACTATACCACTTCTCCTTTGAGACCTTAAAAAAAATTAAGTGATCTGGAAATTATCTGGTGAGTTATACCATATCTGCATTACTTGTCTCAATCTGAATTAAAAAAAAAAACATATTTCAAAATGATAAGAAACTTAAGTTTCCATTTGTTGAGTTAATTGGTTCCTTCATTTCATACTTTCCAACCCAATATGTTATGTATTGATTTTAAATATTTCTTGTTACTGAGTTATCATCAAACAATTTAATTGTTTTCTGAGAATTTTATTCCATTTATTCTCAACCACGTCTATTGTAAAGAAGATATGAAGAATATAGTATTAAAATATGTCGCATGTAATTGGGGTTAGATTTTATTTAATGATAACTGTTACAAGAAATTCCTATTTTTAGTACATATGTTTTTTTTGTTTAATCAATTTGCAAATTACCAGAATTTGAAATTTTTGCCTTTACAAAATTTACATGTTGTCAGTTTTTTTGGTGCATCATACAATTTTTATGTATTACTAATTAATTGTCTTGAAAAATTAATTTGTTATAATTACAGATAATTTTATTTTTAATAATACATTTTAAATTGTCAATCTCTTATTTTGGTTGTAAGTTCTAGCACATATAGGTGTATAAAAGACTGTTGTTATTTTAGAAAGCTATTGTGATTGACTCTTTGATAGCTTTCATTTATTTATAGAAAATGAAATAAATATATATGTGATACAAACATAATCTCTAATTTATTATTAAGCTTTAAAGATTTTTTTATTTTTTTATGTAATAAAATTAGATAACATATTTTTGTTTTTTATTCTTTTAAATGCTTTAATCAGGGACATTAAAGTTTCAAATAAATTCTTTGTAAATATTGATTTATGAAATTGTAAATACCTGTGGAAGTAAAGAAATTTAATTAAGAGATTTTAGAAGAAATGCTTTGATTTAATAAATGTTTATAATTTCAATTCAGTGATATAATGTCCTGTTATTTAATTAAAATTTCAATTCAGTGATATAATGTAATGTTATTTAATTTAAATATATATTTTGAATGTATTTAATTTAATATTCAGGAACCTTTTTTAATCCTTTCGTTACCTATAAAGCTTCTTCTGCATAAATTAATTTTAAAAAGCTCTTTCTGTGAAGCAGAAACCTTGATACTAGATTTATACTCTTTGTTTCTTTATTGGAAATCTAGAAGGTTCAATTAATGTCAAAACAATCAATGACGGCTGATGACAAATTATCTTTAACCTATGTTTGTACCATATTGACAATATTTGTACCCATCTTTAGCTGTTAAAATTTATTTTTTCTTTAATTCCAGTCATATTTATGGATTTCCAACTAAAAAACTAGTAATGATGTAGAGATGGTTGACCGTTGATATAATATGAGAAGGAGTTGATCGGGGGGTGCGGTCAAATAGTGGCAAAACTATTTTATTAAAAGCCAACGTTAATATTTTTAGTAACATACTTCTAGTTTTTTATGAGGAGTTGATCGGGGGGTGCGGTCAAATTAATAATAAATTAAACAAGTAGAATTATTCAATTTTTGCCGATGTTTCGACCCACTTTGCAGGTCTTCATCAGGGCGTAGGATGTAGCACTGGTGTGTTTCAACTGCCTCCCGCAGTGCTACATCCTACGCCCTGATGAAGACCTGCAAAGTGGGTCGAAACATCGGCAAAAATTGAATAATTCTACTTGTTTAATTTATTATTAATTTGACCGCACCCCCCGATCAACTCCTCATAAAAAACTAGAAGTATGTTACTAAAAATATTAACGTTGGCTTTTAATAAAATAGTTTTGCCACTATTTAGTCTATTTATGAACGCCATCCTGGTCCGTCTCCTTCCTTAAAAACAATCTATATTCAGAAAAAAAAAATGAATTTGAGTTTTAAGTTTAATCTTATTTTTAATTTTACTTATCTATATATGTAATATATAGTAAGGGTAAATATTGCGATCGTGAAAATTTTTGAATCTGAGTTTTCAACGGGAATATACGTTTAAGGTCTCCTGAGTCCAAATAACCAAGACCCGGAAAATGTTCTGTGTGTGAACAGTACTCAAAAACGGAAAGTTGTACGGAACTGAAATTTTGTATTCAAGGTTTGTACATGTTTGGGATGTTACAGCATCTTTTTCGTCAACATCAGCAAACTGGACGTGGCACTTTATATAATCGATGTAACAATTTTCTCAAAAAAGGCTCTTAACAATTTTAATTAAACTCGGTATATTAGTGTTTTATTAAAAAAAAAACCTGTACCGCTACAACCCATCAAGGGTCTTGGGCTTAGTACTATTTAGGGAAAGTACTGTTTCAAGGCCAATGGTTAAAGTACCCACTTTGTAGAGGATGGGTGTGCCCCAGGAGGATCTCCCTACCTCAGGGTCGCCCCACTGCCAATGAAACGAATAA